TCCCCCTCTTATTCAACACAGTACTGGAAGTTCCAGCCACAGCAATCAAATAAGAAGAAATAAAATGCATCCAAATTGAAAATGACAAAGTGAAACTGTTATTATTCACAGATGACATGATAGTGTATATAGAAAACCCCAAAGGCTCCACCAAAAAGCTACTAGATCTAATATATGAATTTGGAAAAGTGGCAGGATATAAAATCAATATCCAGAAATCAATAGCATTTCTATACACCAATAATGAACTATTAGAAAGAGAACTAAGAAAACAATCCCATTTACTATTGTAACAACAACAAAATGTGAGGTACCTAGGAATAAATTTTAAAAAGGAGGTAAAAGACCTGCACTTGGAAAATTATAGAACATTGAAGAAAGAAACTGAGGAAGACACAAATAAGTGGAAGCATATACCATGTTCATGGATTAGAAGGATTAACATCATTAAAATGTCCATACAACCAAAGAAATCTATAGATTCAATGCAATCCCAACTAAAATACCAATAGCATATTGCACAGATTTAGACCAAATATTCCAAAAATTTATATGGAACCAAAAAAGACCCCAAGTAGCCTCAGCACTCTTGAGAAAGAAGAACAGAATTAGAAGGATCACAATGCCAGATATCAAACTATATTACAAGACCATTGTAACCAAAACAGCCTGGTACTGGCATAAGAACAGGCATATTGATCAACGTAACAGAACAGAGAGCTCAGAAATCAACCTCTATGGTCAACTAACATTTTACAAAGGAGGCATGAGCATACAATACAGCAAAGATGCTCTATTCAATAAGTGGTGTTAGGAAATTTGGACAAATACATGCAAAAAAAATGAACTAAACCAACAACTTATACTATACACAAGAATAAACTCAAAATGGATAAAAGATTTAAATGTAAAGCATGAAACCATAAAGATCCTAGAAAAGGACATAGGCAGTAAAATCTCAGACATCTGTCATAGCAATATCTTTGCCAATATATCTCCTAGGGCAAGGAAAACAAGAAAAAAAGTAAACAAATGGGATTACATCAAACTAAAAGCTTCTGTACAGCAAAAGAAATCATCAACAAAATGAAAAGGGAGCCCACTCTATGGGAAAACATTTTCACCAATACGATAAGGGGTTAATTTCCAAAATATATAAAGAACTTACCCAACTAACAACAGGAAGACAAAAAATCCAATTCAAAAAGGGGAAAGGACCTAAATAGACACTTCTCCAAAGAGGACACACAGATGGTCATAGGAAAAAAATTTTAATGTCACTAATAATCAGGTGCAAATTAAAACCACAGTGAGATATCACCTTACACCTGTCAGCAACAAAAGGTGCTGGCGAGGATGTAGAGAAAAGGGAACCCTAGTGCACTGTTGATGGGAATGCAAACTGGTGCAGCCACTGTGGGAAATTGTATGGAATTTCCTTAAAAAATTAATAATGGAACTGTTGATTGACCCAGCAATCCCACTTCTGAAAATATATACTAAGAATCCTGAAACACCTATCAGAAAGTATATATGCACCCCTATGTTCATAGCAGCATTGCTAACAATAGCCAAGACCTGGAAACAGCCCAAGTGCCCATTAGTAGATGAGTGGATAAAAAAGCTGCGGCACATTTACACAATGAAATACTACATGGCTGTAAAAAGGAAGGAACTCTTACCTTTTGAGACAGCATGGATGGACCTAGAGATTATAATGCTAAGTGAAATAAGTAAGTCATAGAAAGACAAATACCACATGATCTCACTTATATGTGGAATCTAATGAACAAAATAATCTGACAAACAAAATAGAACCAGAGTCATGGGTACATGATAAAGACTGACAGATGTCAGAGGACAGGTGGGTGGGGAGGACAGAATGAAAGAACGTGAAGAGAATAATTAAAGAACATGTAAGTGGATGTGAGGGCGATCTGGCTGCGACATCTGTCACCCCATTGATCTCCAGGGTTGATTTGGCTGATCTGGCTAGCTAGGTGGGTGTCCCCCTCCTCCCTCGCTGATCCATGTGCGTCCCTCCCGAAGCTGCGCACTCTGTTGAAGAGAGGACGACCTCCCCCCCATGCTCCACCCGCAGCCTTCCCGAGGAGAGGACCGGTCTTTGGTCAAGGGTATACGAGGAGCTGCGCACCCCTGCTAGAACCTCCAAACAAGCTCTCAAGAACATGTAAGTATAGCCCATGGTCACAGACAACAACATGGTTAGGGCCAGAGGGAGGGGAGGCGGGGTTTGGGTGGAGGGGGGTAAAAGGGAGGTAAATGAGGGACATCTGTAATAATTTCAACAACAGAAGATAATAAATGTAACAAATAAGTTTGAAGGCTAGAAAACTCGGACCAAGGAAAAGTTACATAGTAAATCTGACAGAGGAAGGGGTGGTTCAAAACACACATGGTGTCAAAATATCAAAACATCCCACTTAAGAAGGAACAGTGTACATAAAAACTGTGTGTGCTAAATAGCTACTTTGGTTATTGCATTATTTAGTATAACCAAAATCAGACACAATGTAGTCAAGAAACCATCTATATCTAAAATCTAGTATTTTCTAAATGTAAGTACTTAGAAGAAGGTGGGGCCTTCTATATATTATATATACTTTTTATAATCGTGAACATATGGCATCCTTTATTTTTTTAATCCTCATGAGGATATATTTTTTTATTTATTGATGTCAGAGAGGAAGGAAGAGGGAGAGGGAGAGAGAAACATCCATGATGAGAGAGAATCATGGATCAGCTGCCTCCTGCACGCCCTCTACTGGGGATTGAACCCACAACCCGAGTATGTGTCCTTGACTGGAATCGAATCTGAGACTCTCCAGTCCGCAGGCCAATTCTCTATCCACTGAGCCAAACTAGCTAGGGCAGAATGTCAGAGTTTAACAGTTCACATATCAGAATGCCTGAAGAGGAAAATAAACTGAGGCTGATTGAAACAAAAAGAGATACATATAAATTTATATATACTTATCATAGACACTTAAAATCTACTAGTAGCCCTGCTACAAATCCATTCGCCAGTAGCTTGTTGCCGCCATCCAGTAGCTCCCCCCACCCCCTGTAGCTTTCTC